AGGTTTTACTAGCCCAGTACAAAAAGTCGGGAGAGTACTATGTCTGTCTGTCTGTGTGTCTGTCTCTGACGTGTGTCTGTCTCTGACATGTGTCTGTCTGTGTCCCCCCAGGTTTTACTAGCCCAGTACAAAAAGTCGGGAGAGTACTATGCAATCAAGGCCCTGAAGAAGGGAGACATCATCGCCCGCGACGAGGTGGAGAGTCTGATGTCGGAGAAGAGAATCTTTGAAGTGATCAACACCATGAGGCACCCCTTCTTAGTCAACCTGTTTGCTTGTTTCCAGACATCGGTGAGTTCGTGTCCCCGCCTCCTCCCCTCCCCATAGTGTACCACAGCTGATGCGGGTGGGGCTGGTCCAGTGGTTAGTCTGTGTGGCTCTCAACAGAAAGGTTGTGGGTTCCTACATATCAGGGGCCTAAAGTTGTGTCCTTGAGAAAGGAAATTGTCTTCACCTGACCCCCGGGTGGGAATGTGTACCCAGCGATCGACGGCCGGACATCTTGTCTGTTTCTTCCTCACAGTTGTACTGGGTGGGTGGTTGGAGGGCGCCACTGGTAGGTCCTACTTCATTAACTTTCCCTGTGTTGTGCCTGTCTGTTTGGGTGGTTGGAGGGCGCTACTGGTAGGTCCTACTTCATTACTTTTCCTGTGTTGTGCCTGTCTGTCCATCCATCTTACTTTGTCCTGGCACTAAATGACCGTTATTGCTTCTCTTTCCTCACACAACAAAACAAACATTTGTTCTCGTGGTCAGTTTGTGAGTGCTGCGCTGTGGTTTGCTACAAACGTCTATGGTCCTTATCTGTCCTGCTGTTCTGTGTAAGTGGCTCTCTGGTAACACCCGTATTATTCAGCACTTCTGCCAACTTCTATTTTTGTTACAAGTGCCGTAAAACTCTTCCACAAACCAAACTCATGGTAAACCTGCCACTGAAGGCCTGTGTGGCATGTCCCTCTGTCTGACACACTCTGTGGCGTGTTATCTGCAGGAGCACGTGTGTTTTGTGATGGAGTACGCGTGTGGCGGGGATCTCATGATGCACATCCACAGCGACGTCTTCTCAGAGCCTCGCACCGTCTTCTACGCTGGCTGTGTCGTGTTGGGGCTACAGTACTTACATCAGAACAAGATTGTCTACAGGTGTGTGTGTGTGTGTGTGTGTGTGTGTGTGTGGTGTTGGGGCTACAGTACTTACATCAGAACAAGATTGTCTACAGGTGTGTGTGTGTGTGTGTGTGTGTGTGTGTGTGTGTGTGTGTC